AAAAAATCTGAAATGTTTCAGATTTTAAATTACGTTCGAATGGGCGTTTTTTTTTTTTTTAACGTTTTGTGTGTTACCTTTATTTATTAACTATCATGTTCTTTGCACTATACCATAAAATTCATAAAATTCAGTTCAGTATCAATGTCGCAAAATAATTTTAAAATTGAGCATATCTTCAGAATTTTCCATACACAGTTCCGCGCGCTGGATATAAAAAGGGTCCCCCCCCCGTAGAGTGTTGCCATTGATCGCTTTGAAATCCTTGAGTTTGTTAATCAAAAATTCGTTAAAGATTTACAAAATATGAACTCGATAATAAAACAAATTTCAAATTTGGTCTTCCACACTTTCATATTCGTAGGAGGATTACGTCATTCAAAATTCGATGGCTCTATGTACCGTTGTTTTATCACAATGCGAGAAATATACATATATTTATGCAGATTTTTCATTATTTAATGTCTTCAAATATAATGCAGGACTCTACCATTTGGTGGCAACAGTTTGAAAAATGAAACGGACATTTATAGTGATTGAACGTAAAATCGCAAAACGAAAACAATAGTCCTTCAGGGACAAAGCTCCTTTGGACTAAAAATCTGTTATTTTCACACTAAATGAAGAGCAATCTGCTCCTTTAAACTTCCTTGCCCCACCAATGGCCGAGTGATTAAGACCGCTGAATAGTGCTAGTGTATGTATATGTATGTAAGTAACTAATCTCACTTGTCTAACTTAATCAGAACAAGATCACGAATTTTATCGTGGCAAGGAGTACGTGACTGCGTCTGTTGCCGGCTGGAGCCTTGAACACCATACAGGTGACAGTACGACTTTGCTCAGTTCCGCCGAGGAACGGGGTGAAAGGGGACACCCGAGGAACGGGTTTAGCCGTCTCTCAATCCTCATCTACTACCAATCTCTCGAGAGGACTTTTGGCTCGTCGTATTATTTAGTGCTCACATGCCGCACAGACACTATACATTCACAAACAGCCATACCTTTTTCGTGATTCGAAACCACTTCCCGTGTGGGCGATGAATACTGATAGCTCGACCCCAGGTGAAAGAGCTAGCTGCATGGTTTGTTTTTCCCATCTATAACATGAATATGAGCTAGTTTCCCTCAAAAAGGTCCTATACGAAGCATCATTCCTCTTAGGCAGATATCCCTTTTGGCTTTGCCGTGTTCAAGTAACATAACCTATACTTCAAACTTTCGGAATCGTTCGCGCACTTGTGGCGGGATCTCCGCCGACATTCACGGTCGGCTTAAAAATACGTTAGTAAGATTTTGCATCTTGTAAATAACAGCTCATTTCTGCTTTAATGTTTCCTACAAAAACTTCTTAATTATTTAAAAACATCAAATGTTACTTAGTCAAATTGTTTGTATAGAAATAAATGTATTTTTATGCCTTAATTGTTCCTGCATAAACTTTCTAAATATTCCCAAATTATATTAAGCCAAACATAACGATATTTACGCTTTAATGTTTCCTACAAAAACTTCTTAATTATTTAAAAACATCAAATGTTACTTAGTCAAATTGTTTGTATAGAAATAAATTTATTTTTATGCCTTAACTGTTCCTGCATAAACTTTCTAAATATTCCCAAATTATATTAAGCCAAACATAACGATATTTACCATTACTCTTTGACGCATTTGACTGTAATCACAGCCTTATAACAAAGGGTCATTACTATCCAGGAATTTTGTCATCATGAAAAGAAATAAAAAAAAGAAATTCCTATAACTACAGTGAACAATGCAATCCTTCATTTTCCAGAAGAATGCCCGTCAATGTACATATTTTTGATTAAAAAATGTTTGATTAAAAAGGTTTGTGCTGCATGTGAAGTTTTCGTTTTATGCCTGTACGATTGCTCATAAAAACTCTTCGATCTTTCTCCGAACAAGTAGTAATTATTTGTGTCTTAGTTCCATCATGATGGTTTTTGTGTTATTTCGTTTACGCAGTCTTTATATAATGTATGCCAGATTATTTTTTATTCTTTTGCGAATTTTTGAGTATGCTGAATGTAAACTTCAATTGTTATGTGCTGCTTGACATATTAGCCACTCCCATCTTTTGTATTTTAAGTATCAGCTCATTAATCGCTTCAATCTTTCCCATTACACGCACATAAAAGATAATAACTACTATTATTATCTTTTATGTGCATAACTAACTACCCGTTTAGCTTCAAAAATATTAGAATAAATCTGTAATACATCGCCCCTTTAATTTTTATATTAAATATTTCTTTGAAAAAAAAAATAAAATTGTGCCACATTTGGGTAGACTTTACGTTAGTGGCTTATCAGAAGCCGAGAGACCACTGAACTTGAGTAGTTCAACCCGGGCTCAAATTCCTTCAAAAAACGGTTGTAAGGACATTTTTGTGGCTTTACTATTGCCCAACGTCAATAAGAACCAGTATACTTAGACAGTTCTCCACGAAAGCATCCCCCCTTCATAGGGATATATCGCTAGTGTTTCAATATAATCTCTCAACTCCCTTAGTGTAAAATATTGATCATTCCTTCTTACTTACTTAGATTAAGTTACATAACTTTAAGTTACATAAGATTAAGTTACATACGTGACTAGATTAAGTTACATAAGCACGTTACTTTACACTGTTTTTAGACCCTTTTAGGCTTTGAATGAATTCTAAGATAAACTTTTTTAAATTTTGAAATGGTTTACATACTTCAAACGTTTACCACAAGTAAATGTTTAACATAAAAATATGCACGTCCTTTTCTATAAATATGTTATTGTCATATTTAAGTGAGATGCAGATTTTTCTTTCTGTCATTTTTCTCTCTCTCTCTCTTTTTTTTTTTTTTTTTAATCTTTCATTCGCGAATTTTTAGTAATGATACTTTTCAGATAATTTTCTAATTTTTACAATGCAAATCGCTTCATTAATATTTGATAATGTATAATATGAAACTGCACATGCATATTCCTGAAAACTAAAATTATAAACTTTGTAACAATTGATATCGATTTCTCTCATGTTCAAGGAGGTCGATTTAAGTCCGATAATTTATTAAGGCAGAGCATACCAGAGCTATTTTCCCAAGGGAAGGGATGAGTTCCTGGGGGACTTTTCAAAGGAAATGAGCTCGTATTCACGTTACACATGGAGAAAACCACGAAAATCTCCATGCAGCAGAAGATTCGCCAAAATTCGAACTCGAACCACCAATGTTCATTGATCTCATGACTAGAACCGCTGGTTAGCTCGGTTGACTTAGAAAAGTTACTTTATAGATGTAAATCACACACTAAAAATATTCTTCATTTGTATAAAAAGTAAGAGATATTTATATTTCATAAGAAGTCAGATGAAGAGATCATTGGTCATAATACTAATTACTCAGGGCAAAGAAAAAGTACTCTTCGTCATAATTATGAAAGCAGATACATTCAATCTAACGGAAGACGTGCTGCATTAAAAACAACGGTCTTCCTGCATTCTGTGCTTAACATTCTACTGGCAGTGTAGCGCTGCTGAATTGTAAAGTAGTAGTCATATTATTAACGAATACTTCAGACGTTTCGAGACTTCAATGTGATCCTGCTTTACATAAAAATCTCCAAAGAATTTAAATCCAGCGTTTGTTTTATATGGACCTATGTTACTAGCACGTAAAATATTGTTTATGAAATGCTGATAAGTAGCTAGCAATAATGTTATGAATTCTTATATGTACATCAGGCTTAACAATGTCACTGAACTAATTTAATGATCAGTACAGAGTTCAACGGAAAAACTGAACAGTATAAAAAGCTAAGCGTACCATATTAAAAGTTTTCATCCTTTAGAACATTCAAAATTTTAGCCTAATATTAACGTGATAGTAGCGTACCACTGTAAATGTAGCACTTTTAATATGAAGGTGAAATAAGACTGAAAACTTATTTCCTTAAAATATTTAATTTTGAACATTAGAAAATTAAATTCTTATGTACCTAAAAAGTTTTAGTACATTATTAAAATTCACAAAAATAGAGCGTTTCATATGTAGAATCCATGTTACCTGTGTGATCTGTACTAAAAGGAATCATTCTGGTTTTGGTATACTTGTTGGAAACTTATATCTGGTTTTTAAGTACATATCTTGCAGCGTAGCGTTTTCCCTATGAAGAGTTTTTGTTCATTTTGAAGTACAACTGAGATACAAAGGAAATAAAGAGAGCTTCTTTCATATGTGTCATTTTTCGCTCACTATATGTTTAACTATTTGCAGGTCTACATCACCCTTCTGCATTTTATCTAAAAGCAGGATGAATATATATGCACATTAAAGTAAAAAATAAAATATTTGCATAATACTTAAAACAAAAGTATCTTTGAAACTTAAGCACTATAGTCTACAATACTTAATTTTACATTTCTAAGTAACCAATTCATTTATATAAATTCAGGTATAGTTTTACAGTTCTTGAGATTTATTTTCCGATTTAACTGATTAATTACTATTTTAGATATTCCTAAATTTTTAGTGTAATGATATTTCTTTATATTTACCACTTTTCAGTACTATGACATTGATAAGTATAAGTAGTATGATAACGCTATTTCTTAGTCGAATATTATAATGCTTATCTAAAACTCCTCTTGTGATATGAAATTTTATAATAGATTATGAATAAGAAAAGTATTATTTAATGCTTAAAAAGATTTCTCAATTTTAGATACTCAACATTCACATTATTTAAAGTTATATTCTTGCATGCATAAAATAGTTTAAAGTATGCAGATTAATAAGACTGATTCTGTTGATAATTTATTAAATAATATTTGAAGCGTATTATCTCATATCAGAGCAACTGCATAAGCACAAGAAATGTTAACTACCATATTTGTAATTTGATAATGTATGTAACATAATGACATTAACTGCCAAAATTACATGGCTTATTTGGTTGTATATAATTGTGATATGTATAGTATTGGAAAGTAATTAATTCAAAATACAGACAAAGAATAATGAATTTTATTTTATGATACCATTTAATTCTTAGAAACTGAAATAACTGGATTTCGACTAGGCGCATGCGTGGTACATAGAGACAAATGCAACAAACTGATAGTATAACATACGGTGATAATTTCAAATACAGGTAGCCACAATCAACAAATTAGTCACGTATACGCTTAAATGATCTTAAAAATATAACATTTAAGAATTAGAAATAAAAAGAAATTGAACTATAAATGCTATTCATTGCGTGCTGATTTGCGGCAAACTTAAAATACCATGGACCCACAAAAGTGCGAATAGCTAGCTGTGAACGTCAAGTGGAAACGTTCCCTTAAATTGCACGTATGCTAGCACCCACATTTCCCTTCAGAGCATTTGCAGTCTTCGGTACCCTTACAACCGCAAGGCTTCTTGTGACAACTGTCCTTGCACTCTTCTTTTCCATCGTGGCAATTAGTTTTGCATTCGGTGCTGCAGTTGTCAGCAGCACATTCCTTGGCTTCAGCTATAAAGGAAAGGCAGACATAAGCAAAATTTATAGATTAACTACAAAATACAATTCAATTTATGGATTAGCCACAAACTGGAAAACAAGTTATTAATGGCCCATTAGCACTCAATTGATGTACTGGCGTCAAAAGAGATCTAAAATAGTTAAATATTAATATTTACCGCTGAAATACTTTCGAAGATATTTTCTTTATTCAAGAATTTGATTCTAAAGTTGAGTAAAAATGTTATTTTTACTTATTTTTATTTTAAACCAGTTACGCCACGAGTCGTTATGAAAATATTCCCCCTCCCTTTATTCCTTTAATATCTCTGAATTATTTTAACTATTGCGTACTATTTCATATTACCATATGGGTTAAAATTGGCTAGGTGGTATGTAACCAACTGTTATATGCTAAGGTACCTAATACATCGCGTTAAAAGCATATTTTACAGCAATAATTGTACTAATGCTCATAAAATTTATCAGCTGGATGTACTATAAACTACATCGATTAAATGCACCATAAATTATCAGTTACTTATACTGTTAAAAAATAAAAATATGAATTATTGTGAAATATAATTTTGCATTTTAACAGTTTGTTAAAAGCAATTGTAGTCGTAACCTCAAGCTCTTATGTCACATCAAACGGCATCATTCTTAGAACATGCTATTTGCTAGGCTGCATCGAAAATTTTATCATGAAATGGCATCATGTGCCACGCCGCGTAGGTGATAAATGCTTACGAATAATTAATATGGCGACTCAAAAATTTCGAAAGATTTCAGACGTGGCTATGCTTAAACGAAAAATTAAAATATCAATATTTTAATTGCAGCAGTGGCAGAATATAGTAAAAATTTCTGAATCCAGTAGGAAGATATCTAGATTTATTCTCAACAAAACAGGACGACGGCGTAAGACTTCAGTGCTTTCCTTCATATATATACGGTAAATACCAGCCACATTGCTTTAGAAAAATATATGAAAAGACCTTCCTTTCTTAGCAACAGACAGGTCTACAATTTGCCTCATTTTATGAGCATGATATAACTGACACTGAGTACAATACTCGATACAACACTATATATAGCTATAAATAGTTAACAGAGACTTTCATTATGTACTGAATATGTACTTAGAATGCATTATGTACCGTTTTTCATTTAATTAATGTTTTATAATTTCTCATTCTGCATCGTGTACCACAGACGAATTATAAAAACATAGCTTAATATTTCGTGTTTGTTGTAGTTGGCTCAGAATTTCAGTTGAATTTGTCACTCTGCAAAAAGCATGAAAGGGTTGAGGATTTATTCCCATTATGTTAGATAAATAGGTTTTTGACCAAACGCAGATATAAAGCTCTTTTCATATAACTACACAAATATTATTCTGTATGTGAATATCAATCAGCAGAAACGGAAAATAATTCAGCTGGAACACGCAGATTACAGTAATAAAAAAAATTAAAACCGTAGTATTTTATGACCTAAACTGTTGAATATCGTTAATTTTAATAGCAAACATGAATAGAAAACATGTATAATTGAAACAGCAAACATTGCAGTAAATTCAAAGATTCAATAAATACTCTAAAGAAACTTCTTTTCATATTAACATTTACATAGTTTCTTGTTAGTACTTTTAAATAAGCATATTTTCATGTCCATAAAATTCACTAAACTAACTTCCTGAAATTAATCTGAAGTTCATGGCTGGCACATTATACAGCTGAAGGTTAATTAATACAAATTTTTCAGTACCCAGCTCTGCTTTTGTCATTAAATGATCTAGATTCAAGAAGCACTCTCGTTTTTTATAGTGTTGCTTTAAAGCTTGGGTGCTCCAGGAATGAATTTATAAGCCAGACAATTAAGATTCAACCTTGAAATTTGTTATTCATATGTTAGAAAAATTTACAGCAGCTATTTTTGGGAAGCTACTTTTATTTAAGGATTGTATGACGGGAAAATTACGTAATCAAATTAAGTGATTCACGCGTTGTACGAAACGTTTAAGGCATTAGTTTATGAGTTTTCGCATTCCTTTGTTCAATAAATTACGTTAGTTATGCGTAAATAAATTGATGTTTAAAATCAGCATTATAAATCGTACGAAGAATCCGGAAACTTAACTCTCATAGATTTTAACGCAGTCCTTTTTCCGTGAATTTAATTGTGATGAATAATAATTTTTCTTATTTTAAAACAGAAATAATTCCAAAAGGAAAGTAAATTATTCAAGGAAGGAAATGATTGCACAACATGTAATAAATCGACATTGGACTTTGTGTCTGTTTTGGTGACTTTTTCATAAAAAAATTACTTTGCTTTTAAAATTTGGATTTCCACAGGGAGAAAAATCTTTTGATATTAATATATGATATGATAAACAATATAGTAAATGATATAATATATGTTCATAAAGATACTGAACTATACATTTTCAGAAATAAGAGAAAATCATGTTTCCTCGATTCTAAGGTACACCTTTTTTCCTGGCCCACCAGCGGCCGAGCGGTAAAGTCCCTGAAAACTAGTAGTTCGGTCCGAGGTTCGAATCCCGCGAACGCCTGCATGGGCGTTTTCGTGCTTTTTCCCCATGTGAAACGTGTCAATATATACCAGTTTTCTCAGAAAGTTCCCCACGAAGGCATCCCTCCCTTCCGTGTAGTGCCTTAGGGTAGAATACATAAATAATAACCTTTTTTTTCCTATACAAATGTTTCTAAAAAGAGGATGCTTCTTAAGAGTGCAGTTGTTTTACAAAATTACTAAATATTCCGAAATAATTTTACAAATTACTAATTTATATGAATATAGTATGACTCGTCGGAGTATAAATCGAAGTCGGTCTTTAAAAAGTGTTTGTTAGATGCGTTTGGACACTTTATTTCATTCATTTTATTTGCCTAGAATCAAAGTTTTTTTTTATTGATACCGAATTTAAGGGAATCGCCTTACAATCAGTACCATCTTACGACAAAGCAATACAAAACAATAGGCGATTTATATGAAGCGATCCGATGTATACATGTAAATAATTTTTATGGTTTATGCGAATCATGGATATACATTTAAACAGATTTATAATTCGTTAATTCATATTTCTAACACAAAATTTTATCTTTGCATATTCTTCTAATGCTTGCAGTTTACAGGAAATCTGTAATAATAACTGCATCAATTTAACTCTCATCAATTCTTTATGCTAAAGTATTTCATATACTGATCGTATTAAATTATTTTTAATTTAAGATTTTTATTTTAATTGCGTATCTATTCGCAGATTAGAGATGAAAATTTTCGGAAAGTTTTTAGAATTTCTTTTATAAGTGCACTCGAGAGATAACTTTTTTTTAAAGCCCGAGTAAAACATATTGCGTGATATAGCACCATATATAAAAACCACATAAGAAGAAATTTGGGTTTATTAGTATCAGGCAAAAGAATACTATGAAATGAGTTCTTCTCAGCTGTTTCATGCACTGAAACAGATAAATCCTACTGTTAGTTTCTGCTAATCAAGAGCAGTTTTGAGCAAAAAGCATTTAGTAATTTTATCAAACAACTTTAATTGCGAATAGTATTTTGTAATTCAATATACATTGAGATGGAGCAGGGCTCCAAGGTTAAATTACTAATTCAATTTTAACTCACGTATTTTAATCATGATTCAAACGAGGTTTCCTTGAGATCCGCTTGAGATCTTTAATGCCGTTGTCAACATAATGAGTTATCTTTAATAAGTTTATTTCATTTTTAATTACTTCTTGAAATTCTTGTCTACTTTTTCCTCTCCAAATAATATTTCAGGCACACAGAAATAGTATCAACCTGAAACCATTCAAAAGCGTGTTACTAATAACAACATTAAGCTAAATTTGGAGCTTTTATTTTAAGCTTTAGAGCTGTGGCGAAAGTAAAATCAATGAAATATTACCATTTTCTAAAATTCTAGTACGTGTTTTTAAGATAATTACGGAAAAAAATTATCTTAATCTATACAACAGCACAGACGATAGGAAAAAAATTAATAAAAATAAAAATTATGAAGGAGGAAAAAAATTTGAAAGGTTTCAGATTTTAAATTACGTCCAAAGGGGCGTTTTTTTTACGTTTTGTGTGTTACCTTTATTTATTAAATATCATGTTCTTTGCACTTAAACCATAAAATTCAGTTCAATAGCAATGTCGCAAAATAATTTTAAAATGAGCATATCTTTAGAATTTCCGATACACAGTTCCGCGCGCTGGAGATAAAAAGGTCCCCCCCCCCGAAGAGTGTTGCCATTGCTCGCTTTGAAATCCTTGAGTTTGTTAATCAAAAATTCGTTAAAATTTTACAAAATATGAAATTGATAATAAAACAAATTCCAAATTTCAAAGTTGGTCTTCCACATGCTCATATTCGTAGGAGGATTACGTCATTCAAAATTTGATGGCTCTATGTAATGCAGGACTCCAACATTTGGTGGCAACAGTTTGAAAAGTGAAACGGACATTTATAGTGATTCAACGCAAAATCGCAAAACGAAAACTATGGTCCTTCAAGGACGAAGCCCCTTTGGGCTAAAAATGAGCAAATCCACTTAAAAAGAATCCAGCCGAAAAACGGTAAAAATATGTTCAAAAAGAAAACTGCGTATTGTCTTCAGTTTTTTAAAAAAATTGGGTCTTAAAGTACGCATAAAATTTTACATCCGGCAGGAACTAGTAGTTTTCGTACGCAATATATTACGTTACAAACAGCTTTTATTTAATTATAAATAATTATTATACTTGCACTGTTATCAGTTAACTGTATTGCATAAATTAGTTGCTTTTGGGATATTAAATCATCAATTAAAGATACTTAAAAGTTTAATTATGCAAGTTTTTATGAAATATTTTTTAAAAATCACTGTTAAGTAATGCATAGTTCAAATTTGAAAGAACAATTACAACTCTTATGCCATATCGAAGAGCGACAGTCGAGAATTGGCAGTTTGCTACGCTACGTGAAT